CTATTTTAATTTATTTTGAATTTACTATGTAACTTATTTCCTTCTTCTTGTAAAAACAATGCGTTCTTTTAGATGACTTAAGGGGACCAAGAATGCTGCATTTCTATTCAGATACACTGAGAAGATAATATGGTATACTTAGTCAGCACACAATTTAGCGTCTTCAGAAAACTTTAGAGCAAGCTGAACATCAACAGCGCTTTCGCTATATCCCTCATACACTTCATAGATGTTTTCTGTTATCAGAATCCAAAAGAAAATCACCATAGCGTAGTGAAATATTATTTTTAAATCCTTTTCATCAAGTCACGTTCAACAACTTCTAACCGATAGAACCCAAAGCTGCTACATTGATAGTCTTTTACCTTGAGTTTCTTATTGTCTTAAGGAGGTATACTGACTAGGAAGATTTTCCCTAAAAGTCTCACTACGCCAGAAAAGTTAGCTAGACTGTGAGTTAATAGACCATTTTTGTGAAATCTCACTTCACACCGGAACTTCCACAGCCTTAATCCGACAAAGAAATTCTTGAATTTCAGGTTATCAATGCATGAGATATTCATAAACAACGAATGAGAGATAAAACTGTGACTATTCACTTAAACCCAAGTAGCCAACATGGTGATTCTGCAAAGTTCAAAGTCGAGAGTTTCCATAGCTAGTCGTCGTGAGCATTTAGGCATAGAAAGAATGAATGTTACGATCTAGGGTAGGAAGATAGTTATCGCACTGGAACTCAGTGGAAAGTTGACTATGTACTGTCCCATTAAATTAATTTACTAGAACTTACAGATGTCTTTTTATAGTTTCTGTCCTCAACTAGCTTCGTTGTGGACGAACTTAAGGATGTGATTTCATAGAAGCCATTAGCTATACCGCAAAAGTAAGATGAACAGTTGTAATCAGTTAGAGGATTCGAGTCAGTAGATAATTATTCTTGTGGATATCTATGAAGTCCTGTGTTTCTGAATGGAGACCAAGTAAAATGACCATGTCTTGCAGTTTGCTAATACTAATGCCAACAACAAGTCAACGATGGATACAGGTATGTCTGCTACTATAAATTGTCGATGAAAAATTCCTGCTGCGATAGTAATTTTGGGATCCTATGTGCCTGCATTTGAATGAAAGTTGAAACAACAACTATGAAACAATTAAATTCTCACCATACAGATGGAAACGTTAAGTCTGAATTGAGGAAGGCGTTGTGAGACTATGCAGTTACCTTAGCATGACAGCAATACTCATCCTGAAGAAGCTTATCAATATCTGATCTTTCGTAGAGGCGGTGGTGAATGCAAATTAATAACTAAAAGCCAAAAGTTAGTAAAGAGCAAGTGAATTTCTGTAACCTCATCCAAAAAGACAGATGCAAAAGGAGACATTCTGACTAACAGTGAACAAATTGAAGAGCGACTGCTTCTTTAACGTAAGCTAACTAAAAGTGAGTATCTTCCCTCAAGCTCTAGCAGAAGTTGTGGTGTGTCTAAAATTTCAAATCAGGTATAGTACCAAAACGTGACAACTTGACTCCGGAAACATTTGAATGTGCTAGTGAGGATTTACTAAGAGCATTACTAAGAGCACTAGTGTAAGAATTCTGACCTCATACAACCAATAAAAATGGTTTATTTAACCGCTGACCTAGCATAATTTCATGTGTATTGGACGTATATTATTTATACAAGCCAGCCATAGTCTTCTGATGCTTCCGTCGCCCAATGTGGCAGAAGGTATTTGAAGGAGAACAGTAGCATTCGGCATTCACTAGAAGTTGGCCACTACATTTCATTATCTTTACACCCATTTGGACTTAACACATCAGAGACATAAAATGATTCAACTAAGAAACAGAATTATTTAGCATCCAGTTGATTATTAAGTGAAAATAATGACAATCACTTCTCGAATATTCATAAAATACCAAATTATTAAGTTCTCATTAAATGCCCCCTGATAAACTGAAAGTTTTATTTAACTGAGAACATGGTCAGACACATATGCAACAATAGTTACTTTCCCCAACTAGTCTGATGTCTACTAGAATGTTAGACAAACACCTACGTTAGCCATTGAATACAAGCCACACGATCGATTAGTTTGCATGACATGCATATATGAACTATGCAACAATAATAGTTAATCAATAATTAATTCATCAGGAATTATTAACGATTAACTTAACACATCTGGCCTTGTTTGCAGTCAACTTTTAAAACTGCAATTACTTAAAGCTGTAAAAGTTGGAATACATAGTCGAAAACTACATATGGCATGTCATTTTAAAATGGGAATTAAACGACTAATCACTTGTGTCCTATCCAATTAACTGTCTCACTAACAATAGTTGAATGAAAATTACTTGCTGTTTTTTAAAAGAACATATGGGAACACGATGCACAGGTTTAAACAGTCGGCTTCCAGACATTGTGCGTCGGTAGCACAGTGGTTAGGACTCTCGCAGACCAAGCACATGGTCCGGGGTTCGATAGCCTGCCGACGCACACCTGATATCAATGGTTGGCCTGCAAAATTTGGGCTACCGGTATCACATGCTGAAAATTCCATACTTGTACCAAAAATACGGTCTGGAATCAAGTCATAATCAAAATTAATTAAAAAGTTAAAATTAAGTCCTGTGTGCGAGTCCCCTGCTTTGTCTACATTAGCCTGGATAACTTGGTAGATTCACTAGCTTATAGCCAAACATCTGAAAAGTCTGTTCTAGGTAATTCAACACTGTACAGTACTGTAAATGATGAGATAGAAAAATCCATTTCCCTCGAACTAAAATTTCGAAAATACCACAGTTTGCTTTGGAAACCAAAATTACTCAGATCATAATATGCGATCTGCTTGATAGCATAAATAGCAAGCAAGAAAACAAACATAAATGCAACTAACTGAGGTTGTTTCGTAACGAAATCTAACAGCTGAAGCTAAATAAATGCACCACGCAATATACTACTGATCGATTGATATAAGTAGTTCGGGTAGTCAGCAACCAATCTTGTTTCCAAAATATCCGTGTTTTTTTAGTTTTCTTTGTCGATGTTTAATCTCTAATTTTAATGCTTCTCTTTGTGATTGTGTGATGATATTGATAATGTATGTTGTTTTACGACCACGATTTTGTTTGAGTCAAGATCATTCTGATCATGGATTGCCTTCTGGAATCGTTTGGTGTGTGATTCTTACTGACAGAGTTTTCATCCCACTTTGTTGGGAATATCCTTATTGATTCTGAGGCACTTCTTACGGTTTTTTTATTAAGCAACTCTGTTTTAGAGTACTTATCTTGTACTCCAGAAACTATTGGATCTGTATAGCCGCCTTACGGCATTGTTGAGGCAATTTTGCGTTTTAATTTATCATAATTGTTGAATAGTACTGCAGATTTTATCCGCAATGACTGTCTTTTCACTATCGTTTGGACGTTTTTGTACTGAACATAACTCAAGAAAGCCATGGTTAGCAGCTATACAGGAGAACGCAAAGACTAGTTTCCTGTGTTCAGACAACAACATGTCGGCTTAGGTTGTTACATATAAAGTATACATTTTTTAAAGCAGAATTTCCCCGTAAAGAAAAACAAACAAATAAACCAACAGAATTGTTATTAAGGCTGTTAATACTAAAAATAACTTTGATAAGTCAGTTAGTGATAATCAGGTAACCAGACATGATAAAAAAATATAATGAGTAGAAGTGATTGGTTGAGACGACGAGTGGCATATAACTACTCGTCTCAATCAATAGTATACAGTTTCGTGTAACCTGTGCCAAGCACTAATGCCCTCATAAGATTGATCATATAAAGCGGCTGTGTTATTAAACAGACTTCAGTCGAGTGACAAACAATCTATGTCATATATGCAAATTAAGAATATTAGGGAACATAACTAATTTGTATATGATAGAGAAGATTTGTAGCTCAGGTGGATGATTTTGATGTTGTTGTGTTCTCTGAGCTGGAGAGTTAATTTGCGAAGCTTTCATCACCCTACTGGGTGACATCTTCAGCGCATACTTCAATTTGAAGTGAGCTTTGAGATTTCTCCACGAGTTTATTAATCATCTTTCCTGGCGACCTTGGACGTGATTGGTTGTTTTTGTCTGTTTTCACACCTTCTAGGTTACTTGTATTGTCACTCATTGTTTCTTTGGCTTGAACTTTGACCCTTTGTGTGTGACGTTTCTTTCTTATCGGTTGATAAATTTTGTCTATCTCGATGTGTCTATTGATTGATGATTCACTGGAATGCCAAGCTTCTAAAAATTCTCTAGCATTCTTGTTGTTTCATCTGTCTAATATTTGAACGTTGTCCCAGTCGAATTGATGTCCTTGGTTGTCTGTATGTAGTGATATGAGGGAGTGGATATCAGGTCTTTTGACAGCTAGTTTATGTTCGTGGATACGAAGACGAAGGGGACGTCCACTTTGGCCAATGTAGTGTTTTTCGCAGTTGATGCAATCTATTTTGTAGATGATGTTGGTTTTATCTTCCTTCGCTGTTGAGTCTTTTGGTTGACATAGAATTGAGTGAAGTGACTTTGTTGGTTTGTGTACGACGTCAATTCCTAAAGGTTTGAAGAGTCTTGTAGTGACAGAGGAAACAACAAGAATGCTAAAGAATTTTTAGAAGCTTGGCATTCCAGTGAATCATCAATCAATAGACACATCGAGATAGACAAAATTTATCAACCGATAAGAAAGAAACGTCACACACAAAGGGTCAAAGTTCAAGCCAAAGAAACAATGAGTGACAATACAAGTAACCTAGAAGGTGTGAAAACAGACAAAAACAACCAATCACGTCCAAGGTCGCCAGGAAAGATGATTAATAAACTCGTGGAGAAATCTAAAAGCTCACTTCAAATTGAAGTATGCGCTGAAGATGTCACCCAGTAGGGTGATGAAAGCTTCGCAAATTAACTCTCCAGCTCAGAGAACACAACAACATCAAAATAACTAATTTGTAGCTAACAACGAATGAATAGGGTAACTTGCGGAACGCTAGTCAACATTCGCATGTATACAACTACAAAACAACCAGTCATAATCTCAAGTCTCTTCTATGTTTTATCTCTCAACAAGTCGGTGATTCCACAGACTTCTAAGAAGTTAGATGTGACCACATGCTTAATTGACAAAAATCTACACGAGAAAGTTGAGATGCACTAGTTTATATTTATTATTTGTGACTCAAAAATTAACAAGTGAATAAGTCTCGGCAATACAGGCTACTTTTCATAGTCTCATTACAAAATAGAAAGAAAGAGTTCACAGAAAGTTAATAATACCTTACATTTCCCAACAGTTCTTGACCTTATTAAATGCATTCTGTCAAACAAATGAGTGAGTAAGCTAAACATTTCAAGTTTATTAAAATAACCTAATGAGCAAATATAGAAAGATACAGAAAGTTGAATCAGGATGAAGGATAAATTTTTTGTTTTGTTTTAATCATAAACTTTAAATTAAAGACAGCAAGAAAAGAAATATTACAACATTTCTATACACCGAAGAAAAAAATGAAATATTAGGGAGACAATGAAAATCACTTTTGTTTCAACAAGATGTGAAAATCCCAGTGAACAGTGTAATGGACAGTGAGAACCACACACTGGGATACAGAACTTTTACACGGCTGTCGTCAGTATTATTGTCCCACTGAATTAATCCAAAAGTTAGGAGTCAAGGATGCGCATTAAATGAAATAATCCTTTCTTGATTATATAATTTTTGAACAAGGATAAGAAGACAACTTTGTGATTTTAATGTGAATTTGAAGAAGAGGTAACAATACCAGGACTTGGACGATCACTTTCTGCATTTGAAGTAGTTGTAGTTGCATGAACAGTTTTCTTTAAATTTGCAGAGGAACCATTGCGTAGACCATTATTGTGTGAATGTAAATCAACAGTTAACTCAAACCACGGACGACGACCGAATCGACGAAGTTCAGATAACGATAACAGTTTACGCCGCGATCGTCTATATTGGAGTAAAATACATACGAATAACATTATCACAACAGTACGAATGACACCACTTGATTATTATATGACGGAAAGATAATAGTGATGAAAAGATAAGTTAGCAAAAAGCAAAGTGATATCACAACACCATGTCAACAAAAAAATCTGGAAAGATTCACTGTAGTTTTGGTTTACTCCATTGATTCCCTGCGTATTCTTTCCCAATAACAAATAGTCCAAGCAATAAAGTGCAGAGTGATAATCACGAAAGATTTATGACTTTTTGAAAGAGTTTGAGCGGTTGTTACTTCTCAGCTGCCTATACTGAGGAAGTTGATTTCTTCTTGGAGTACCTTAAATACAAAGAGCATTAATATTGTGTGACCACAGAGCCCAGGGAACAACTGTTGAAGACCGGTAACACAAAATCTCTTCGAAGTGGATGGTATCAGCAGTGAGTCATTCCGACTGCACGCATTTGGTGCTGATTAGATGGACAAACACTAAGTGAATAACATCTCTCTTCGCTTAACTATAGATATAAAGCAAATTATGAAACCGTGTTAATAAATTGGCATTTACATGAGTCTGTTTGCAGGGATTTGGACTTTGCTTCAGGTTTGATCACAAGCTGATACCAGTTAGAGAACCACTGAAAACCAGAGAGTGCTGGACAGCTATCTCTTTAACTAAGTTTCAGACGCATTGGCGGTACGCACCCACACACTGGGTTTCGAACCCAGGACCTTTCGGTCGGAAAGCAAGTTCGTAAACCATTCATACATTGGAACACGACTCAATGGCCAGCTCCTGAATTCTAACTTTACCGATTCTTGATTTTAGCGCGACCGGCAGCAGCTAATGTCGTCGGTGAGCATTTTTCCCTACTCATGACCTAGTGGAACCCCGACGACATTAGCTGATGGCGGTCGCGCTAAAATCAAGAAATGGTAGAAGTTAGAATTCAGGGGCTAGACACTGAGTCGGGTCTCAATGGCTGAATGGTTTACAATTGCTTGCTTTCCGACCAAAAGGTCCTGGGTTCGAAACCCTGTGTGTGGGTGCGTACCGCCAATGCGTCTGAAACTTGGTTGACGAGACAGCTGTCCAGCACTCTCTGGTTTTCAATGGCTCCCTAACTGACATCAATCCGTGATCAAACTTGAAATAAACTGACATTTGTATGAACAATAAATTGTGCCTGAAACGTCATCCAGTTATTAACTCTGTATCACTATATTATATCAAATAAACTTATGGGAGTATACTCTACTACAGTGGCCAAATTCTACCCTTACATAAATTCAGCAGTTCAAGTTGCCATACCTCATGTTGCACACACATGTAGAGAAAATAGAAGAAAATGAAATTCAAAGGAACTATGATGCACAGAAATGTACAAGAGTCAGAATAGTAACATGGAAAAACATGAGGGTTTAATGGATTTGAGACATTACACAGAGTGAATGCATCTACAACAGTGAGAAAGATTTTGCGCCATATTACGAAAGTCGCCAGTCACCGATTCCTAGCATCCTGAGATCCCTAACCCAACAGTCTACACCTGCATACGTGTCTCAAACAACTTTCTTATATGCTTTTGAAATATCTAAAGATAGCCTTGTCAATTAATCATCCCTACAAATTGAATTATTCATTTTTATTGGTTTCTATAAATTGAGGTCAATGTTTTTTTTAAAATCTGAATACTACATTCTTTTATGAAAACATCTGCAGAAAGTCAAATCCTTTTATTAAGTCAATGGTCGGATTTCGGCCAGCTTATCAAGAATAATTCACAAGCGAAGTATGTGGAACGAATAACCAAAGCATTTACACTAATAACGTCTTTACAGTCCTAACTTGAACATAAGTTCCTAAGTCGTTCCAGTGTATAAATATATATACTCATGACTACCTTTTTAACAGTGATCGGTTGCATAGTGGAACAGAATGAGCATCATACTCGTATTTCACTATACCTCCAGATATCGTATCGGTGTGAGATTTCTCAGAGACTGAGAAACAGATACCAACCAGCCAAGATATCGTCAAAAATGCTTCAAATTTTTTGAATAAATGAGGCAGTATCACTTATGTTTGTTACTATTATGTAAGCCGGAAAATCGCGTGAACAGATGTAGTTGTGAATGACTTTTAAACATTCCCATATTTTGGCCACCAGTGCGGGGATCACAAAGGCATGTTCACATATTGTTTTCAATAAAATAATTAAAACTAGCTTCAAAAACATCTGAGGGAGAAAAATAATCCAATATTAGCAATATGACAAGTACAGAATTATACTTACTTAATTGCTTGTGTAGCACGATACATCAAAGTTGAGGCACAATCCACACCTGAGCCAATAGTAAAACGACGTTTCGGACCTAAATTCAGAGCTCCATGATTACTTGATATGACTTCCATGTTAGGGTCATTATCGGAAATATCCACGTTCGGCTTCTTCGCAGAAATATTTCCCGTCTCTGTTAAGTTATAAATAAGATGAAAAATGGAATAAATATATTGATGACAAGATTTGAAAGAGCTTGGCAATAAAAACCAAATACACGGATAAGCACAGGACTTCAACTTCATCAAACATGAGAATATTAGTCAACTACCTACTATCGAAAAACTGATGTTGTAAAGTAATATTAGACTAAATCAAAATCTTCACCTATACAGAGCAAGTTAATACCACTTACAAAAACCTTGACTGTCACAGCTATACAATATAGAGTGGGTGTATAGAGGAAAAAACGAAATTAACAAAAGAAACTTTCAATTTTGAAAAATTAAGTAAGCAAACCTTTAGGCATATAAGGGTCGATTAAAAAATTGAACAATTCATAGTCTGTATGTGTGGATTTGTACTTACAAAAAAACAAAAAAGCGGGTTAATCAACAAATGAACTTAAACTGCATTCCATATTTGTTAGACAAAGATGAAAATAAAATGAAAGTTAGCAAACGGGATGGTTTGATTGCCCTTAAATAAAGCCATCAACATATGAAATTTTTTAGAGTAAATCTAGTGCGTACGATATTATTATGAACATTAGTAATTTCATGTACACAGGTAGACCTAAAATACTAGAAAGTAATATTCTTCGTAAAAAAGGTATAGAGCTAATATTCTGAAGCATAAACCAAAAGCGGCATATTTGGTGAATTAAAAACACCTAATTAGCAAGTACTCTGTAATTTTCTCAAATGTATGCAGTAAACGATTTATAAGCTAAGTGAATGCGAAAAGCATTACTAGGGTATCGAATAACAAATTATTCAGGCTTTTATTCACTTAAGAATTCAAATATTGTTCACAAGTCATAAGAAAAACTTACTGCAAAAGTTGTTAAAACCAGGTAGGAAAGCCTACATACGCTAAGTGATAATAGTATCTACTAGGCATTGTGCACGTGTACATCACACGTATACAAACTATCGTTCATTTAAAGAAAGAATTATATTCATTATTTTTTCGGGTTTCCTTCACGCTCCCAGTGGAGCATAGGGCTTCAAGCTTGAAGCTAAAAGTTTCTGTAACAGTGTTTATTTTTACAGGATGGGGTTGCTAGCCCCATGCCCACCCTTCCCTGTTTACCAGTCTTACTACTGGATAAGTGAGGTAAAGGAGTGCGTCGGTCGGTGATCGGACCCCGAACCATGTGCATGGTCGGCGAGCGTGCTAACCGCTGTGCCACCGACGCACACATTCGTTATAGTGAGTAGTATTTATGTACATATGCTTTATATTAACTTAATTTCCAGCTCATTATTAATACGTTCAAAATTCAAAAGTTTGTTTGATGAACTGTGAAAATGTTTGAATGATGGATAACGTTTACCATCTACACATACCAGTTACAAATCGGTAAATAACCAGTGTACATTAACCAGTCTTGCAGAGAAATCTTCGTTTTGTAGACAACTCTTCAAGGTTGCATATTTGCTGTTTTCATGTTTAATAACAACACGCATAAAAAACACAAGTTTAAGGCTTTCTGTAGACTGTATTGTATTATAATATACTAAAGGTATATTGAGAAGTATATATATATATATATATATATATATATATATATATGATAGGCTAGAACTCAGTGATTCTATAAGGCACATGCTTGGATAAAAACTAGCTTAGTACAAAAAGTAACTATATCAAAGGAAACTAAATTTGATAATGAATACAGATAGGTTTCCGCATAGTGATTCACAAACAAAGTGGGAAAAATATTTGTACACGAAAGCTAAGGCCCGAAGATTTCAGTGATAACTGATTCTAAAGAATTTCGGTAATTAATTACAAGATACGTAAAACAAAGGAAACAGATCTATAACGGAAAAAAAGGATAGACAAAATAAATCACCTGAATATTCATCATTTTGAGGAATAGAAGCAGGACGTTTGAGATTGTTTGAAGCCACCAAACCATTCACAGCTAGATCGAGAGCAGTTTCTGGTGCGGTATTTGTTAACCTTCATTTCATAAATAAAACAGACATTCGAAAAACCAAAAACAAGATGAGAGTGTGAGGAAAGTGAACTTAAAGGGAAAATAGAACTCATCGCAGAAAAACAAGACTAGGAATCGATCTACATCGGTGAATAGAAGAGAAACCTTAAATGTAGATGGTGTGGGCATATGTGCGCCAATAGGTAGTATCAAAATTGTACTATCTTATTTTTTTAAACATGCTAGTAGATTCTTGCAACTGTAATCTTTGTGGTGTTTTCTGTATTTTTTTCCTTACTAGCACCTAAATATAATCACGAACCCAATTTTGTTAATAACGAGTACTAATTTTGGAACATAATGCCAATGAAAAGATTCTACTATATGAAGTAGTAAAACCATTGTCGAACTGCCAAAGATACTTCGAACAACGAGGAATTCAATATTATCCTTGATTAGTAGCAACTTAAAATATTATTATAAAACAAGTTAGCTATCCCACAAACAAAACATGAGTACTGATAATATCATAACACAAAACTGAAATATGCATAAGATCAGTAGGCAACTTGTAGTTCCAACAGTCAATAAACTTGATAAGTATTTAAGACATTCAACTGCTTCATTGTCACTGATTTTACTACAACTCAACTCTGTCAGTCGTGTGTAAATACACTTAGTAAAGAGTCGTATGTTGCTTCTATCATCAGAGGCAATTTTCGTAAGACTACATGATATTTGCAGTTAAATCACGTACAAACAGCATTCAGTTGGATTAAAAATCACAGCAGCCTCATACTATACTAGATCCGAATACATTAGTAAGACTTTTATTTATTAAAGATTGATATCTCAACTGCCGCTAGTTGCAAAAGCAGTCATACAACTGCGTTCTGAGTTTGGGGTTTATTCAGATGAATCGCGCGCCAACATGATAGCCAATCGGATTGAGTATATCAGCACAAGTTTATGAATCACACTTAATATCATAACTTATAATACTAAACCACGGTGAAGTCCGGAATTAGTGAAACGGAGTTTGAACTCATAACTTTTGGTTGAAATAAAGAAGCAGAACCAAAAATGCCCTATACGGAACACATAAAATTCCAATACGTTTTACTTTGTGTAACTCTGATTGGCAGGTATACCGATGCAAAAGAAACCACGTAGGTGATTCAATGATAGCCGCCACATTGAATGTCAGTCACCATAACTGTCGGTCGATCCTATGTCAACTAGGAAGTTTCTTCGACCAAATTCGGTTGACGAAATTATAAACAGCATCCCCAAATTTTAGTATAATCATCCTTGGAAAATAAGATGTGTCCCTCTAGTAAGACACTTCATTGTAGCCAACCAAAAGCCTTGCAGCAAGATGGATTCTAGATATAACCTTCCTAATTGTTCTCCACTATGAATAACAAGGTGTCATTAACAGGAAGCTAATTTCCCTAGAAATACACACTAATGATCGACGCAATACATTTCAACGGGTCATAAGGCCTACGTGAGACATAAAAATAAATTTATGCTTTACTTAAGATGCTTAGAAGTCGATAGTTGGGAACCTTCTACAAAGACTGACAATAGTGATGCGATGTGTATTTATTTCTTACTGACTCCTAAATTCTGAGCAAATCAATACATTCTAATTGTTTTCTCTTTCAGTACCAGTTCTGTCTCAGATCTTGAATCATGAATCTTTATATCACACAATTCAATCTTTTCGACTAAATTTCTTCCTTCCAGTGGAATTAATTTGAACTTTATGACAAAAACGTGGAAGTACATTCTGAATAAAATAATTTCAGAAACTGTAGTCTCCAACGATCAGCAGCTTTCTCCCTTACTTCCTATATCATATTAGTTTTTTAGTTAGTTATTACTCAACTAACCAGTACTGGGTTATGATTCTACTCAGTTGTCCAGGCTGAAGTAGGTGGAGAGGGACTCGAACCCAGAGCACACTAACTGAAAGTCAAATGCTCAAGCTAATGAACCACCCACATCTGGAATAGAAATAGGAGAAAAATGAATGCAAATAAACAGATCCATTATCTATTTTACTCTTGGCAATAACAAACAGACTACTCTGATAACACATTAAAATGCAGACACCGTTCACCAGTTCGATGGAAAGATTTGCGTGAATGAGTAAGTACTAAAGATATCAGTGGGGATGTACTATTAGTCTATTATTATCCAACTGATCGATATATACCTATGTAATCGGATTACGAGGGTTACAAAGTGAAATTTGACTCAGACTACGAACTTCTTCATAAAACGAACTACTTGATTGTTATACATTTACCAGCTGGTTTTAGTCATGAAACTTGCGGATTATCACTTAGGTTAGGAGAATTCTTTGATAATTGCTAGACAACAGATGAGGTTCTATCACTATCGCCATGACAAAAACTAGCTCGAAATACAAACAGAAGTGACAAACGGTGCGTAAGCGTTACTACAAGTGTAGCAAGACTAACTGTAATACTCCAACTAGATGTTTTTTAGTGTCAAAATGAGGTATTATTTCAAAAAATAACTCCTTTATTTTCTAGTTATTCTTAGGCTGTATAAAATCCACCTGTCAAAAAACAGTTCACACGGAAATATACGTTCCTGATAGCTATTATTTTGGCCCTCGGGACTCTAAGAATCAATGGCTGGAGACAATAGGTGACATGGCTCAAAATCGTTGTCAATGGCTTACGCAGATGTATTCAGTCTCTGTATTCTTTCATATTCCTTCCTACCATTACTCATACTGTTTCACTCTTATACTTATCAAAACTCTATTGATTCTCTTCACTTATTTTCTTGTCTACCTTTGTGTGCTATTTGGAACGTGGCAATTCGAACTGCTGCACTTCGGTGCCAAGTTCTATGTTGAATCCAGCTATATATATATCCAATAAATCTGTACGGTAGGTATTTATGGTTGATGTCTCCTAATTCATTCATTTTGGAGAGAATGGACCATTTCAGCAAGCAAACATGGAAGTATAGACTTATTTGTAAACAGTTGCATCTCAATTATTCTCTAAGCATAATTGCCGCATTGGTCGGAGGGCCAACTGTATGTAATAGTAAGACTGAATAATATGCAAACATCAATGCATAACCTGCAGCACAACCTTACGAATATTCCGTACTTTCCAAGTTGTCACAAGATATGAATCAACAAAATATCTTCTACATCAACGTATTTCTAGCCTACAGTCGAAACTTTGTTATCCACCCACGCAACTAACTTGAAGATTATTTAAAAACCACTAGAAAAAAATTTAAACTACGCTTTGTATTAGAAAAAATGAGAAAGGTTTTATATACAAACTCAAAAGGCAAATAAAAGTAGAAAACTGAAGGGAAAGAGGTATACACAACGGAATAATACGAAACTTCATAGAATGAAAGAAGACTCAAAAGTATACTCCTTACTTTTCTGTAATCATCGATAGTGGTTCAGTAGTAGGTTTCTTGTCCATTATTCCATCAGAAGAACTACACGTAGTTGGAAATAATCGAGAAATTAAAGAATGCAAGGCAACTCCACGGGGTTTGGATTTGTTTGCAGAACACATATTTCGAAATCTTTTTGTTAATTTATGTGATTCAGCTGGAGTAAGTTTAGACAACAATGGAAGAGCATCTTTATGGAAACCGGTCAAAAATGTAAGACGTTTGAATGGTTGGCGAGCTCGACGCCGTGGACTTGAGGTCACACACAATCGACGCGCTATTCGTAAAGTAACACTAGCAACAAAATGAAAGCTGACACTAGTACGTACTTTAGATGCAAGCAAATAGGCATTAGAATTATGAACTCCTAAATCGTTGGGTTTTGTTGAATGATCGGACAAGATAGTGGTTGAGTTATTACGAGATTGAGAATCACTTGTTGGAGTATTAGATTTTGTAACACCCAGAATATTAGAATCAGAGCTAGAAGCAGAGGTTGGGTTGGAAGAAATCGACTCGGAAACCTTATCTATTTTAAAAGAAACAAAAACTAGACGTAAATAAGTAGACGAAATTAAAGCATAATTTGTTCAAAAATTCAAAACACGAATTGACAAACATGCTTGAAAAGATATAGGTTAAAGTAGAAATTTACAAAACTTTCGTTCATTCACCCAAAAGGTGTACATGTTTCTCTCAGTAGCTTTAACAGACGATCTGGGTGCTTTTCTTTTAGCTAATGCTCCTATTCATATTTTTGCATTTGTCAATGTATTCTTCCACCATTTTCATTTTCCCACAATCAAGTGGATTTATGAATGGTGGTTGATATGTAGTATCTCACATACTACTTCTCATATTTAGAATGTTTTAAACCTTTAGAAGAATTGAGTGGACATAATATTGCAACGAACAGGTATTTAAAAAATATCATGAAATAAAATGCTAACAATACATTTTCCCACAAAGCATCAAATTCTTTTTTATATTTTAGGAATGATCATTTCTTATCCAAGTAGAGGAATATTTGTTGACTTATAGTAAATAAAACCTCGCCTAGATTACTAGGTCACTAGTATTCTAGCCGGTCCCAAGCCCGGATAAAGAGGGAGGGTTGGGGCGTGGTGCTAGCAACTCCACCCCCAAAACTTAACCAAATTGCTACTAAAACTTCAACGCACAATTATATTCAAAATTCTAAAATTACAAATAGTGACCTTATTTTTCGCTGGAATCGGGGAAGTGAAATGACGCGGGCTGGTGAAAGCCTTCGGGAAGCCAGTCAGCCGATGTGCCTTCTTTCGATGAAAGCGAAAATAAGGATGGGGACGTGGAATGTTCGTACAATGTACGAAGCTGGGAAGGCTGCTCAGGTAGCCGCAGAAATGAGGAGATATAAAATAGAAGTGTTGGGAATCTGCGAGAGCAGATGGAACGGATGTGGAAGGAGCCAACTATCAACTGGAGAGACAATAATCTACTCCGGTCACCCAGAGGACAATCACGAGCACACCGAGGGAGTAGCCATCATGATGTCACCAACAGCGGCTAAAGCTCTCATGCAGTGGGAACCAATCTCCTCCAGGATAATGACAGCCAGGTTCAACTCAAAAGGAAAAAAGGTTACAATCATTCAGTGCTACGCGCCTACAAACGCCTCAGAACATGAGAAGAAGGAGGATTTCTACAGTCAACTACAAACAGTAATGGACAACGTCCCAAAGAGCGATATCAAAATCCTGATGGGCGACATGAATGCGAAACTGGGAGGAGACAATACAGGAAGAGAACTCACCATGGGTCGTGAGGCCCTCGGTGAAATGAACGAAAATGGCGAACTCTTCTCAGACTTCTGCGCCTTCAATGATTTGGTGATTGGTGGCAGTGTGTTCAAACACAGGGATATACACAAGGCAACATGGATTTCACCAGATGGACACACCAAAAACCAGATAGACTTCATTTCAATCTCAAGGAAGTGGAGACGGAGCCTACTGGACACAAGATCGAGGAGAGGAGCAGATGTGGGATCAGACCACTATCTAGTACAAGGGACTTTCAAGGTGAAGCTGAAAGCCTCCAGGATACCTGGGGATAGGCCACAATGCAAGTTCAACACTCACAAACTGAAGCACACAATCACACAGGACATTTTCACTGCAACTGTCAGAGCAAAGCAGGAAACACTACGTGGCACCACTGAGGAATCATCTGTGGAAGACCATTGGAACTCTTTGAAGGTAATTTTCAACGAAACGTGCTCAACGGTTTTATGAAGAAAGAAGAAACAAGACAAGGAATGGCTCTCAACAGACACTTGGAAACTAATAGAGGAGAGGAGAAAGGTGAAAGAAAAAATGATTCAATGCAAAGATGGACAAGAGAAAGAGACGCTGAACTCAACTTACACAGCACTGGACAAAGAAGTGAAGAAGAGTGCCAGGAAGGACAAAAGACAATTCTACGACAACCTGGCTACTGAAGCTGAGAAGGCAGCAGGCAAAAGGGACCTGAGGACACTATATCAGATAACCAAGTCTCTATCCGGGAAGAGATCAACACAAGTGAAACCTATAAAAGACAGCCAAGGGAACCCAATTACCAAAGAAGAAAGACAGATTAAACAATGGGCGGACCACTTCAAAGGACTCTTGAACCGACCACCACCCAAAAACCGTCCAGAAATACCAACAACAGCACGTACACAACTGCAAGTTGACACCAATCCTCCAACGAAAACTGAAGTCATGAATGCAATCAAGCTTCTGAAAGCTGGAAAAGCAGCTGGACCAGATGGAATACCCCCGGAAGCACTGAAAGCGGACCCAGAAACGACGGCAGATATGCTGACTCCATTATTGCAAAAGATCTGGAAAGAGGGAAAGGTGCCTACTGACTGGAGGAAAGGTTACCTGGTGAAACTACCAAAGAAGGGCGACCTGGGACTCTGCAAGAACTGGCGAGGAATCATGCTCCTGTCGACGCCAAGTAAAATCCTGAGTCGCATCATCCTGGAGAGAATAAAGGACGCACTGGATACAGAACTCCGACCAGAACAAGCTGGATTCAGGAAAGGCAAATCATGTTCTGACCAAATTGCAACTCTACGCATTATCATCGAACAAAGCATGGAATGGCAATCAAATCTCTACCTCAACTTCATAGACTTTGAGAAGGCCTTCGACAGCGTTGACCGCGAAGTAATTTGGAAACTACTCGAGTACTACGGCGTACCCCTAATATTCATCAACCTTATACAACAGCTGTACGACAACGGCACATGTCAAGTGATCCACAACGGAAAACTCAGCGAAGCGTTTGGAGTAAACACAGGAGTCAGACAAGGGTGCTTATTATCACCAATGATATTCCTAATTGTGGTGGACTGGATTATGCGTCAGACAGTGGGAAACGAGAAGACAGGGATATCCTGGACCGACGTGAAGAACCTAGAAGACCTAGATTTTGCGGATGATTTATGTTTGATGTCACACAAAATTGAAGACTTACAAGCAAAAACCGACAAACTGGTCGAAGAAGCAGCAAAGACAGGACTCCAGGTGAACATAGACAAGACGGAGGTCATGAAAATAATCAACCAACAACAGCAGCAGCAACATCCAGTGCCAATCACCATCAACGGGAGGGATTTGAAAGAGGTTACTTCTTTCACTTATCTGGGGAGCATTGTCTCAACCACAGGAGGAACGGACGAGGATGTCAAATCGAGAATCGGGAAGGCGAGAAACACATTCATCAACCTGAAACCAATCTGGAAATCTTCGTCACTCAGCCTGCATCAACAACAAAATTCGGATTTTCAATACAAACGTGAAGTCAATTTTGCTTTACGGATCAGAAACTTGGCGAGTCACCAAGAATATTTTCAACAGGTTGCAGACCTTTATCAACAACTGTCTTCGTTCCATACTGAAGATTAGATGGCCAGAAAGAATCACAAACAAGAAGCTATGGGAACAAACGAAACAGGAACCAATCGCTGAACAAATATGCAGGAGGAAGTGGAGATGGATTGGACACTCGCTGAGGAGGCCGTTGAGTGACATCGCGCGTCAAGCCCTCGAGTGGAACCCGAAAGGGAAGCGGCGAGTGGGACGTCCAAGGGTGACATGGAGGAGATCGTGTGAGGAGGAGATGAAACAGTATGGAATAACATGGAAGCAAGTGAAAAGAACAGCAGAAGACAGAAGCAAGTGGAGACGTGCAGTTGAAGCCCTATGTTCCACTAGGAACCCAAGGGAACAACAATAATAATATAGTAAATAAGAATCTACTTATTTTACTACTTAGAATTGGCGAGGAAAACATCGTCAGGAGATAAGCAGTACATAAAACACAAAACGTTTGATAACAATAGTTCATAGAAAGCAGACATTCACGACCCTGATAACTGTACCATAAAAACCATAAAATATATTGCTTTAAGATCACAGTAAAACCTAATCACATACGATAAATCGATTAAAAATGGGAGAAACAAAGTCAGGAAGGACACAGTTATACGAAATGAATATGCGTATGGTAATAGGATGTCCGAGATTTTGAATATAACCAGTAATACTCAAACATATTTAAAACTAATTGAGTCATTTTACTATGAGAATTCGATCCATGAAGAAGCTCATATTTTCGAACCTAACTGAAACAAATAGCCAGTACCAAAGGTACAGCCTCCATAAACGAAATGGTACAGTTCTCACGTAACCACGTGTTCATAACCTCTGTCAAGCATAATTTATTCAGTGTCTTCTCTGGTGATTAAAATCGAACTAGTGGACATGCTGGTCTACCTTGGAGAGCTGCAAAACTCTGATTCTACACCTATGGTGTACATGGGCTTCAGCATCCGAACGGATTGAATGTCGTACAGACCAATCTTGGACAATAGCAACCATGGGAATATAGCTCCAGACATTGCTGTACTGCCTTGTGGATCGAGGTTCACATCAGTTTCACGCGGATGATCTCTTAAGACAACCACCTATTTTGATCTGGGCGTCCGAGAAGTAGTCTAGCCCTCGCACAAACTATGAGATTTTGTGTGGATCATCTCTTAGTGCCTATAATGTACCAAGTCTGTGTTTTAATGAATAATATTAATAAAAACGAAAAGTTGCACAACTGGTGTAAAATCTTCTACAGTAAGAATTATTATTCTAATTTCGGGTCACCAATAAGAAAATGAGTGAGAATTGAAGTACAAAGGCAAATAAGAATCACAATTACTTGATTTAATCAACTAGTATTCAGAATTCAAAAAAAAGTTAAAAGTCATTTTATTGCAGAATCATTGCCCAAAAAGTGTATCTACCGTAAATTCAAGTGCAAAACAATAACTGAAGCATGTCGAATTTTCTTGAAACATGCTGAATTGATTCTCAGTGAAAAGAATCCAAATAGGATGACATACACTTGTTGATTTTCGACCTTATAGTAAAAGAATCGTTATAGGTTTTAAGTTGGCAACTACGCAGAAAATCCCCATTGATTCATATGAAAAAGAGTCTCTTCGCTGAATGTCTTCTCTTTTTCATATGAACTACGCAGAAAGACAATGATATAACGCCAAAAGTTATTACATCTTCCTACCAAAAGAGGTGATAAATAATATCATCCCTTTTAAAGAAGACTAAAAATAACCCAAGACGTCAGATTTCTAGACTTTCAGGAAATTCGGAGATTTTCAGGTACTGTGTTGTATACGGACATTCTCTGGCACATACACAAACATGAAAAGATTATGATCTTAGAAAATGAAAGTTCAGTCACATCCAGCCACAATACACACCTCAGTCATAACGACGTAATCAACATTTCATAAGAGTGCAGCACACCCAAACAACGCAAGAGCGTGATGTTTGCCATTCAGAATCGAGGAAATCGACCACAATGATGCCTTTGCATTTCTACAAAGTATATATATATATATATATCCACCACACCAGTGCCATATTTATTTCAACTTACATCCTTTCAATCAGCAACGAAATATTTACAGAGACTCGACTGTACAGCAACTGCTTGTTTAAGGAAGGGTTATAAAGAACATCTATGGCTATAGGCTCTGTGATGATTAACTACACAATACTAACGAAAACACATAAGCTGTATATCACGGCAGTTAGAATCATACCATAACTAACAAAGTAATATAATTTACATTACATGGCAATTAAATCAGCATCTTGACATCAGTCCAAAATATTTCCCGTATGTCCACTTTAGCCTTTTGAGAGTTAATCTGACAAACACACACACACACACACACACACACACACACACATAGAATTACACGATTTTACAATGCTACTTAATTATTTGTACCCAAATAACAAAATGCTTAGAAATAAATTACGTAAGTTACCTATAAATATTTTATCGCGAAAATACTAATAAGAAATTTCTCTCAAAAATACTCAGACATAAGCTATAGAAAGTGTCTTCCCTCGTAATATATATCGAATGTCCAATAACATCAACATAATGCCGTAATTTAATCTATGAAATCGAAATCCTGGAAAGCAAATAACACTTTCAATACTATAAAGCCTAATGACAAGATAATTCAGACCAATAAGAAGCCTCTTACCTAAAAGTGATGTAGTCTTTAGGTCACCATACCGTTTCCAATAATTCCAACAGTCTACGCACACTTTTAGAGGAGGCGTTGATGGACCAAGAGCATACCACAAAGTTGACGTGAGATTAGAACAGCCATCGCATCCAGAAGTTGAGTTGTTAGAATCAGATGTAATCGGGTAGAGAACAGCTGGATTCGGTTTGTTGTAGTTTGGAATGTACACCTGTTTTAGATGATGTTCAGCTTCAATAGCCTTCATACGCTTTTGTTGAACATAGTGATCCGTAGTTTTCCACATGTAATAGAATTCTACAAGACTCTAAAAGTTAAAAACGAACAGTAAAACTGATGAATACTTATTGCAAACAATAGTAACATGCAATACCAAGCACTCCCGACTTTGCGCTTTTGGTAGAAACAGACTTCTTAGTGACGATTACTATTACAGATTACCTACATTTTTCAGATAATTTTGAACTCTCTAGCGAAAATTTACCAGGTATCTAATTTTAAATATGCAAGTCAAGTAAACTGTCATGATAATGTGAAAATGAAATAAGAGGAACTATGGACACAGGGAAGGATGCAGTATTATTCTGAAAACTGGTTTATCCGGCCGGAAGGATGGTAATATGAAAATGTATGATACAGACTACAAACAATCACTTTTCCGACCATATTTAAACAACTTCAGTAAAACTAATTGTCCAGACTCCCAGCAAAATAGATTAAATGCTAAAGATGTAGCATTATATCCAACTCTGACGTATTCAAGTTATTCGACGTCTGGAAAATGAAACCTCTAGATGACCAACAAAAGAATAGGCATGCATATCATAAGAAATCAGGAAATGTGTGCAACTGTGCCACCACATCTTAGGACAATTAGTAATGCATATTACAGAATAACTAAACCAAAATAATTGTTGTGATAAAAAGCCACACCAATGTGAATCATGTTACCTTAGGATATTTCCATGGTAGAAAGTCATTTTGTATTTCGTAAAAACACTTTCCATATTTTTCCAACGCTTCTTCGAAGAGATTTCCTTCGCTGGCTGACCACTGTTCCATCTCATCCAACTTTAACAAAGGCTGTCCGTTCGGAGCCAACATTTGAAGGGCTTGAGAGATATTATAATTGGCGGAATGTAAAGTATCTAAAGCAAACTGATATGTGGTATCTCTGGCAGCTGCAGCGGCGGACATTGAGAGAGAAGGCTGACGGAGAATATGCGATGGATAAAAAGCTCTACCCAATGTAGCCAAGGATCGAATTAAAATAAGATATGAGTCCAGATCTGCTGGAGTTAAATCATTGTCCGGTCTCCAGACTAACTGTTCATGTGAAGATTCATCGGAATAATCTGAAATTGCCAGGTAAACAGAATGATAACAATGACAAACTAAATCACATATTAATGGCGAAGATCACTTGATGCTTCATACATACATACACCACAGAAAAATGTAACACCAAAAATTGGCTGTCCAATTCTCTAATATCAACTAACTTGAAAAATATGTTTAAACACTTCTAGAAATCCAAGATAGATTTCTGACAGTTTGCAAGTTATAAAATAACCTCTATAAACCACATAATGAAGGCTTACCGTCTGGAGGGTGATAAGCTTCAACCTCTGCTTGATACTGAGGTCCTTCTCGAATAGATCCCTGATCAGCTTGCAGAGTTTTCTGTAACGGATCATATACTAATTGAAAGAAAAAAGCATCATCCTTCAGCAAATAGATATGATAAGGTTCCGTCTCGGTGTGCAGTGTGACCGTGCACTTCCCACGGATATGTGTTGCAGGAAGAGTTTCCAAATGCCGAGAGAGAAATAATTCACGGTGGTGGATCTTTGAAATTATTAATGAAGAAGACCATTACCTGGTGCATTACCTCAGGTTGTGCATCCTCACCACAAGTTCCTAATTCTTCTAAAGTAGTGAATTACTTTATTTGATAAAAATTACTTTGATGCTTGTCAGCCAGTTGTACCAAATTAAGTGATAGATCTCGACGTCGATAGAAACATACTACTTTGGCTTCTACTGCACCGGTAGGAGTCTAACTAAATCAATTCCATATACGAAAAAACTAACTTTATTCAGTTCTTCAATTTTCCTGATCTGATAAGGTAAGGCTGCAGCAACTTCGAAGTAAACAAAATCTGAAAATAAACGAAGTATTGTATATATTGGGTTAACAGCAGTAAATAAATTTGCCTAGAGCTAAAATGAGACTATATATATATATATATATATATATATATTGGCCATTTCATTCAGAGCAGTTTAACAACCTTAGGAGTGTACACTTCCCGACAAGTTAAATTGCAAAACGTTACTTATCCGGAAATATCTCAGGAATAAATCGCCTCTTGACAATGGAGGGGCAGTTCGGTATTGGCTTTTGTTAATTCCTTTGTGCCGGCACGACAACAAACTCAACACACTTTGATAAAAAATTCTAATTAGTCCTTTTGTTGTGAGATTTGTATTGTGTAACAAAAATAACACCGTGTCAAAGTCCTAGGTCTTTCCTGAGGATAACCTTAAAATCAGTGACCATGTAACTCAAACCTGCCAGTAAGCAAATTCTTCACCCACACAAAATGATCAAGTCTAATGTTATCTGACTCAACATGAGTAACCGGATAGCATCGTCAGGCAGCAAACCTGTAACTGTTAAATAATAACCAGTCTTGTCTTGATTCCTTCTCATTTCTATCTGAAAAGTGAACAATTCTGTCAAGCTGCTGAGATGATAACGGTTTCATCAATCTAACACAACTTGATCAGGTATTTTATTGGGACAATTGTCCATTGTAATATTAGTGACGACATGCATGTCAAACATGCGTAAGATAATGACAACACCAACAATAAGGAATCTAAATCATCGGTAGTAATTCCATACAAGGAACCTCGGAAACCTTACGCAGAATTCTTAACAAGGCAGGAATAAAAGTGGCTGGCATTCAAACCCACACACACTATTAGAAACAATCTTTATCGGTTAAAGGATCCTGTGGAGCCTTTAAGACAAAACAATTTAGTTTATCTAATACCCTGCCGGAATGACTGTCAGGTCAGATACATAGGTCCAAGTAGTAGAACAGGTGCAGTCAAACTAGCCGAGCACAAAACCCTAGCAAAATCTAGATTAGTTGACCCGAATAAGATAAGAAATCTAGAAAATAGTTCAGCCATAACACTACATGCAATTACACACAACCATACAATAGAATGATGTGATAAGATGAGTCTTAAAATCTAATGTAACAGGGAGGGGGGAGAGATTGATAACGGAAGATTTGTTTATTGAATCAACTGCGAACACGTGTAGTACGAGTGATTCAACACCTGTCCCAGATATCTGGAAAATTCTACTACCCCTACGGCAAATAGGAGAGAACAAAGAAAAATATATAACTCAAGTTCCGAAGTCGTGTGATTATAACTGATACGACTATGAACAATAAATCTTGTCCGAAAAGTCATCCAGTTAATAATACTGTTTCACTGTGTGCTATATCTAATTAGCAAATTAATATGGAATTGTCCATTGGGCTCCTACCATGTCAGTTTAGTAGCAGTAAGTGTCACAAGTTATAGCATAAATAAATGGGTCACCGGAACTGATACTTTTAGAAGAACTAGACTATCCTTGACTCATGATCTGTATTTATCGTTGTTCTCAAAACTTTGCTTGTATCCTTTGGACGTTACTCTTAATTCCTTAAAGTTATGTAGATCATAACGAGTTCATCTCATGTGTACTACACAGTAAACAAGGCATTTGGTCCTCACCATATTTCAAATAGGGCATCCTAATAAACAAAATCTCGGTATACTAGCTAATAGATGTATTCTGCGTTGGTGAAATATGCATATAGTACTTCAAAGTGTTTTCTTGAAAAACCCAAAGTAAACAGCGCGGATTTAAAAGATTCACTCTTTGAATACCTGAAAACATGAAGAAAAGTTTTTGCGCCTATGTAGGTAGCTTCCAGTCAGGTCTAAGTCATAAGAGTTCTTTAACAAAACAGCAATTAAGACCATGATAAACTCGAATATCTTTCAATGTTCTTTATGCTTGGATAAATCATTGTGATAACAAAGGGTTCGTGACAGTCAAGGTTTTCTGCCGCAACTACGCGTAAACAATCACCAATTTAAGTAATACGGGAAAACTACCATACTAAACAATCGTCGACTCCAGATGGAATTAAACCATGCTATTCCAATTAAAATTACTGTTAGAGATTATTGGACAGCCAACATAAACATAAGTTGTAAAGAAAATATTTGAATTCAGTTGGAGAATGGACCGGACTAAACACATAAAGGAGCACGTTTGTGTTATTCATCTTAAACAACCACGACATTCACTGCACATACTAAAAGCAACGACGGAGGTCTTACGTAACTTCCCGAAAATGATTGCGATGGAAATGGATAGCTGCATCCGAAATAATAGGTGTATGAGTGTCGTAAAAGGCTTTCTGGATATTGAGTAACGGATTGGATAAAATATTACCTCATGAGAAGCCTGCACAATAATTATGAACAACAAAGGCCGAGAAGATAAAGGCAGGAGTGATAGATAGTAGTAAATAGTTGTTTTGCCAAACTGGCAGTGAGGGTTCATTTTCTTAAAAAGGGAAAACAAGTCAAAAGCATAAAATAGGCCGTAACTATGGCCATGAGTCAACCAACCACATCTTTACCATCAGGCTCTAGAGCATCCACTTACTGATGACCAAAACTTGTGTATCTGCGTATGGCGGTAATTTGATAAGCTGAGGTATTGTAGCATCATCTCTCACTGAAGAAAACATTTAGGAAGTACACTATCTGAATGGAGGCTTCACCTTATAAGTTGTTTGTATTAAATTATGTTCGCCCAGGATGTTCACTGTCCCTACTAATATTTACATTTCTTATGAGTGATGTGAATTATTAGCACAAGCAATTCACTTTCACCAGTAGGCCTTGGTTTCGAACACCACTCCACCTACTTCAGTCTGGGCACCTGGTTAGTAACATCAACCCTTCCAAAACAAATGTACGTAAAACATCTCTTCTAGGAACTGATTTCAAATATTACAAACAGCTTTCTTGTGGAACCACTCTCCTCAAAATTGATATGGACGGAATTACTTACAAAGATTCCTGAATCCAATAGATTTACGCAAACGTAATTCTATGTAGACGTAACGAAATAAAACCTTTTGAAGTCTTAAAAGTCAGTCCCCTGCCGATGAAATGAAAAGTTCAGCTTCAGCCCGACAGGAAATAAAGCTTTGACGGTGATCTGTTTCCTTACCAGAAAACGCAATTTACAGTGCAGTAAACAATGGTATTTTGTCAGTGGTAAGAAGAAACTAGATTAAATTCTACCATTTCATCATGTGTGGGTCCACTGTTTCTCGTTCGCCCTTTAGAGGCTAAATGTGCTTCACTTGTACGTCATACAAACCACCAAGTGAGCGATGCATAGTAAAAAGTTATGGATAACAGAAACAGTCTTTTTCAGTCGACTAACTTTTATCCCACCTTAACTTCAACCTCTACTCGTATTCACCATCATCACTGTTCATTACACCCTAAACAATAAAAATGGTTTGAGCTAACCTCAAGTCATATTATTCTAAAGCTGGCGTTTAAAGGTCCACCTGCTCGACTTCCAACTACTGGGTCATGGATCTGGATCCTACAGAGGTCCGCGCTACTAGGTAGTACCGTTAGCCACCAAAAAATAGGTGGAGCTAGTGTGCGACTGCGTGAAAATACAACCGGTGACGCTTTCACCCAATTCATTTGTACTGCAACACCACTAATTCACTTGAACCAAAAATTTGAGGCTACCAGTCTTCTTAAGAAATTCACTCGCATTAAAAACACGGTTGCACCAGTTAAATAAATAACCAAGAATATAATAACGTATTATTTTATCAACACAGTCCTACTCATTTCACTAATTTGTGTGATTAATTTACAACTTCAGAAGTATTGACCAAGGCATTTTTATTATCAAACAAACTATTTGGGTAATGCGTTCCTGTTATTTTAATGCAGATATCTGCTCCAATTATCTCTTTTAACCTCGTGGGTAATTACCTCTTATGCATACTGGGATTCATAGAATATTGTTACCTAACTTAAGAAACGAACGTTGATTTGGTAGTAAGTTAACTGACTACTAACATGTTGGTAAGTTACATATTGTTTAAGAGTGATGAAGTCCGGACTGACCAGCAAACACCTACTTGCTCACTTCGTTTTCCGGAGTAGTATTTAGTTCGGAAGCAGAACCACACTACTACCGATACATAATGTTTGCACATCGTTATGAGCGCAGCATATTTAATCCAATGAAACTGGTAAAAATCAACTTAAGTGGCGAGCTTCCATCATAGAATAATTATATTCGATAGAAACATTGACAGTATTATTTACTGATGTTGCTAGCATAATTTATTGCTAATAATCATAACAAGACGTGCCTCGAATGCAAACCACTCGGCTACACACACTTCGTGCGACAAAAAAGATTAATACTACAGGTCTACTAAGCTGCATGCTTTCGCTCTCCCCGTCTAAGTAAAAAGAGAACACTGATGTATGTACTTAAAATGTATCTGCTGGTAAGCCATTTTGTACATAACACGGGGGGAAGTGCAAATCACAAATATTTTATAACCTACCCCCAACTCTGTACATATTATTCGATGTCATTGTTGGGAATTATTACAAACGAATGAGATACACTGCAGTCAAGGCCATCAGTCAGCTGCCATTTGATTTGACCGCTTAAATTGACCGGAAACTCTTAAACGCATGATAGGACAGTGTCAGGGCAAAGTTAAGTGCTCCAAGTTCTCACGAACTTAAACATTTCGTCTTTTTAAGAGGTTTATTGCAAGATAATCATATTCTCAGACAAAATTGTTGAAAAAGTCAGTGCCAGAGATTAATCCAATGTTGCTAAGTAACCATTTCTGAAGGGTTTCTGTTTGTGAACTCTGAACCTATTTTTCAGCGAGTATGCACACTGTTTTCCGAACAAAGAAGATAATGGCTTCTCCAATCGAACTTATGCAGCTACAAAAATTGTAGGTTAGACATGGATTAGCCCTGGACCATTCCAAGAAGCCATTAACTGCTAGGCATGAATACATAGTGTTTATAGGCAATGTGAGATTTCTTGAAAAGGTCTACAATAATTAGAACTTACACTGTAAAATTTCTCCTTGTTATTTACAAACATATATGGGTATGATAAAATGAATGCAATGTAGCTTGTAAGTCAACAGCGTACTCTTAACGAGTCCATTCCATTGGGTGACTTTAAGCTTCCACAGTAAAACCAGCTGTGGTTAGGGGAGAATCGTTTTGTAAACTTGACGGGGGTATTTTAGAAAGGACTTATGCATAAAAGCTGGGTGTTGCACATGAGCTTTTCGAAGATACGCGCGGTAGTAAAACTCGACACATTTTCAGTCGTCGTCCAGCGTTTCATTACACTTCAGGCAATGGCATAACTCTGAGGAACTATCTGAATCATACCATAAAGTTGTACTTAATATGTGCTGTGAAGAAAAATATTCGTGTAGTCAGCGTGTGTTTTATAGTTAATTCAAATGGCTTCCCGAAACCCCTCACTAAGAACATGTATGACGCCGGCGAAATCAACAAGGTCGGTTTACTTTGACTACTTCCCGGGCAATGATTAGTTTACATCTCATGCCACGAACGAATGAAAGGGATGAAATGCGTTTCGAAGAAATTTAAGAGTTGCATCATTTAAAAGTGGCCCATTAGTCTGTCTCAATAGATTTCCTCTTTCGATGGAGATAAAAGAAATGTCTCCTTTTCACTAAATGGGTCGTGTTGAGATTGGTTAAACTAAGGGTTTACCGAAATATTTAACCAAGATGTGACTGCCGAAGGAGCGAGTGACTACGTAGTTAATACTAACGTTATTCCTAGTTAGGCTAATAAATAAACAACTACACAGTATATAGTATAGTCTTTATGCAACTGTATTTTAAAATATATTTTAGCGTCGCACCCAGAAAGTTTTCGATTTATGACTGAGAAAATAGTAACAGCTTTATTCCTAATATATAGGTAAAATACTTGTGATCAGCCGGTAATTATTTGGTCGTAATCCAGTTCACTAATGTTTGACAGTGATTCATTTATCTTCAACTACTACTTTGTGAAACGAGATTGACGGCAGTGTACGCACTTCAACTAGATGATTTTCATATAAATCACAAGCCGGAGACGATGAGAATAATGATGGCAACGCGACTCTTAGGGTCGGATAGTTACGTCAACTGAAGTTCGGCTCATTTGAACCTATACCTACCGTGTTCGAAAGTGTTAAGGAAGACCAGTTCTTCAGGCATATATGAAGAATTTGACAGAAACACGAGTACAGTCCAACTGCATTAGGAATTTCTGGACTAAATAATTGACTTTGATATAAGCCAGTTCACAACTCTTTTTGAAACTGTGAAGTGTCAAACTAGAGTGTGGTGTGCTCTACGTTCTCGTTACATTTTAGCATGGTTCTCTGTGTATAAACTTTGTTGCAGATCCCGCGAAAGCCTACTTGAGTTCTTTAACTATAACCATTACCACTAACAAAAATAGTCATGGTAAGTAAGTGGAAAAAGCTGTGAACCTTGTTCTATTTTGAGCTGGGGATCACATTATATTCTTAGGCAATAGTAGTGGATCAAAAGGCTCTTCGCTTCACCATGAATACCGCGGTTGGAACTGAAAATAACTCCATATTGACAGCCAACACAAGCACCATCCGCATCCATATTGACTCCCTTGTGGGTCAGCTTATACTTTAAAAATGCTACAGCACAGTTAGATGCATTAAAATAGCACCTGGCACACGAAGTAGTCATAAGACCCTACTTATTAGCCCTTCAGAGTAAGTGTCTACCCTTCCCTAAGAAAATAAAATCCTACGTGGTGACAGCCTTTTCGAATACATGTGTAGCTCACTCAATGACCTAACCTAACTGATAAGTTTTTAAATATATTGAACACCCCTGCTTGGGAAAGACTGTCACAACTCTTGCATTGGGTGGCAACATACAATACCTATTATTCTATCGTAGTATTAGTGATATTTGAGACTGTAGGTTACCCAAAGGGCTTTTGGTTACTTATACAGTGGGAGCATTGGTTCCCTGAATCAGTTTTGGTAGCTACAACCTCTTCTGTAGGACAAATCGCTTATATGGAATCAGGTAAGGCACGCCGTGAATGAACACAACCACTGTCAGTAGGCTATGAGTGGGGAGAACACCCTGCCAACAGTGACCCCTGGAAGACTCCAAGTGTCTATTATCAGAGTCCAAACGCAGTTCCACGGCAAACGCTAAGATTTTCACAGTATAAAATTCAGTTTATAAATCCAGGAAATAGTGTTATACTAAGAAAACCTATGATAAAATATGACATCACTAGGGTTGTTCATGACCACTGACGAAATCTAGGATACGCATTTCGTCCCGCCCGAGATTCTTCAGCTTATTGTACCCGCATTTCTTGTGAGTTAGTGCATGGTCAACAGAGATAGAACATTAAGTCCAACAAGGTCAACGGAAATGCATACTAACCGAAAAATCGAATGTTGACAGTGTTACAGTATCATGAATCTGACAAACTATGATCAGTCCCTAATTCTCTTAACTGCATCTCACAAGCACCTAATTCTTCTTGAAAGAAAAAATCACACTAGCCAAACCGTCAATGTTTATGTCGTCGAATAAATTTTGAAGAAGCGATTGAATCTCACGAACCGTAATCTTCGTCTACTTATTGACAAGTAATTTTGCGGGCATGTGTGGATTATTCAGCAAGATGTTTGTGGCCAATTCTATCAGGATTACAATCCGTATTTTTGGCACACACTCTGTAGGTCTGATAAATGTTTCCCATTTCCCAAACCAAAACATACTCGCACCACTGATTTCACATATATCAACATAAGTGAGAGCATCAGAACTTTCCAGAGTCCTGGTGATGTTGGCATTGACGTTGCATTGCCAAATCTTAACATATGAGGTGGTCGTTAGATTTCTTTATAGCAATTTTATATCATTAGAAACCCGAACACAAACTCGGTTTGGAAACAGAATTTAGTAGCTACAGGCAAATTAGCATTATAATAGTAATAATAACTATAATTTATATTTCGTATAAACGGGTGTTTAAAAGAAATGCCGTTTTTACAGGCACGGTCAGTTATGTTATGAAGTGAAGTATCACAAATTAATACTTTTTCAAAAGTTTAAATTGTTCGATCATTGTACAAGCAATCAGAACAGGTCCGTATAAATGTTAAATTGTAAACCGTACACTAAGGTCACCATCAAAGTTGAGTGCCAGCCCAAACCTCTTTCGGTTTCCTGCCGATAGTTATGGTCGTGCCATGCCCCCATGTGATTAAAAGCTATTTCAAAAGGAGAAGAATGTCCTGGGAAACTGAGAAGTGTTACAGAATACAATCACGGAAGATACAAGATATATTCCAGAAGGAGCTGGAGACTACTTGGAATGACAGTTCACATTTGCAGTGTTTAATGCTAACCATATTGCTGTAAGCATGGAACCTATGATGTTTTCGGTGAGCATATAGCTTTGTTCAGACGTTGGTGTTGTCGTGTTTTTAATCAAAGCAACCCGATGTTAAGCAAGCAGCAAATATGAACAAAGAGTAAGTATTAGCCTCAAAAAAGGCCAAGGTAGTTAAAATAGAATAAAGCATAATAGTGGGTTAATAAAGAGATTATCGTGAAGTAGATAGGTGATATTTCAGTGAGTGTATTCAAAGATCTGGAAGATTAGAACTCATAGGACAAGCTGACATATAAGAAGTCTCACAAATTTGTGTAGGGCCCATGGGGTAGCATCTTGTCAAGAAGATGAACTGGCTCGTAAATGTTAGCAGCAAAAGTACATCTTAAAAGATGTAGGTCCGTTCAACTCTCATTGTTTTTACGGATCTAGACTCATCTTTAATTCTCGAGCAATAAATTGTGCTCGAAATGTCATCAGTAAATATTACTTTATAGCACTGCGATTTTATCAGAAAAAGTTTTATACATAATGGAATCATACGTGCCACAGGGCATTTTTATATAATTTAGATCTGTACAACCCTTAGTTTTCTTCTAGACTAATGTTTGACTCTCGAGATGTCAAAAATGCATGTTGCTATCCCGCAGACCGGAGTGTGTCACATTTGTAACCACTGCTACTGCATATATGGAGCTTAGAATTATGGAAAATTGATCAGGGCAACATTCTCTGACAAATGTGTATTTGTGATTTTTCATAAATTCAATTCCGCACAGGTTACTGAGATGCAGATCATTGTGACCTGCTACCTTGACTTCCCCTAATTTGTAATCAGCAGTCGGTGCAAGCGACGGCTAGTTGGGTCACCTACCCTGACGACTCTATAGCATTTGGCCTTGTCCACCATTTGGTACACAGGCTGAACCCCCCTAGGAGTGGCTTAAATTGCTTCTCAATTACAAGGCGAAAATATTCAGGTTTTACCTGTAACTTTCTTTCCTTGATCAACCACTTCTAGTGTAGCTGAAGCTAGAGCCGTAGGCCCCCTTCTCTTCACACTTTATGTTAATAAGATCACACCAAGTTGAAAACATACAAAAAATATTGTCATGCAGTCAGTTAATGGAAGTAGATAGAGACAGAGAAATGAAATTTTATCGCAAATCCTGGAGGTATTGTTTCACTCATCAATTCGATAACGCATGTGTCT